CCCTACAAGCCGAACGTGCGTCATTCAGTACGATGCCATTCGGGTACGAATTCCTCGAAAATCGTCCGCTGCAAGCTGCTGTAGAAAGCCACATATTTCGTCGCCATCACTAGTGTATTCCGTTCGTGACACGGGCACGTCGCCGTAGACGGTGCGAAGTCCGCGACCTCTGATGGCGACCTACGTTTGGCGAAGAAGAGCCGGCATGCCGATTTGACAAGACAAATACCAATACGAGACCCGGTTGTGCTTACTTTCCAGTTTATCGTTTTCTAATATTGGCCCTTTTCAAGACGTTACGCAAATGCATAGGCCAGGTGAGCTTTTTTGCTTCCGGTTGCTCGTTACGACGGCTGCTTCGCACCGCGTGAAGCGGCAGAGCGCTGAACTTACAGCTGGGGCCGCGAGGTCCCCGGTCGCCCTTCTCGCCGGGGAAGCCGATGTCGCCGGGCTGGCCGGGCACGCCGCGGCTGCCGTCACGGCCCGGCTCGCCCTTCTGACCTCTCACGTCCGGTCCCGGCAGGCGTGCCGCCTCGCCCTTGTTGCCGGGGCGCACGGGACCGCCGGAGGTCAGAGGCGCGGTGATGACGGGGCGGTCCGGCCGGTCAGGACGCCGCCGAGGCTCGAGAGGTCAGAGGTCTCGGAGGCACGGAGCGGCGGTCCGGGACGCCTCCGGCCCGAGAGGTCAGTTGGGTCTCGCGGCGCGGCATGCAGCGTCCGCCAGATGCGTTCACGGAGCTCGAATGGCCGCAGCAGCTGGACGTGTTCCTCATGGGCGCAAACCCGCTGCCAGGCGTCGCGGGTATGGGGTCAGGGAGCAAGCGCGCGCCGGTCGGTTCAGCCCGAGCGCCCATCAACTTTAGAGCGGGGTGGAAGACAGAGCACGTGTGGATGGGGAGGGGGGACGGGACGGTAGAAAATCGCATCTGGGGAAGTGAGGTTTCTTAAAGTGATTATCCCCCACTTGGATTTAGGTTCCTCCAAAAAATTATCCGCCTAAGCAGGCAGGAACATCATGAAAGGAAAACGTTTATCTGTGCAACCTACGAAGTCTGGCATATTCTAAGGTACGGACCTTCAACCACTAGCGATGGGAGCTACAAGCGGTGCAGTCGTGGCCAGACTCATCACTCGATATCTGCGTGAGCTCATGTGAGCTCTCCCCAACAGCACCCTTGCAACATCTGAGTCAATACAACTCTGTCCAAAATCTGCCAGAAGGCTCCGAAGTCTAGGGATTTAGAGCTACGACAGGCAAAGGCACATCGCACCATAGCAACGATTTTGGTTGTTTGGTTGCTTGGATAAGAGCCTTTCCAACCAGAATGGGCATTTCAGGGCTATGGGATAAAGGACAATAGAATAACGGTGGAGCAGGACAATATGCGCCTTGGAGAGCGACCACCGAGCTTTAACCCAGCAAAAAACCCCTCGGGTGTGCGCTGGGCGTCCGGTCGCTGTTCACCCTAACAAGGGGGCCTCTTGGCCCTCTCCCGTCTGGCTCATACAACCTGACCTGGATAAGCGGGGCGTCACGAGGATTTAGGATAAAGCAAGATAAGAGGATAAGAAGGTCAGATTCATAGAGATAGAGTTTAATAAGGCAAAACGACCAGCCTGACGTGCCGCTCCACCGGCAGACATACGGCGGGTGCTGACGTGTCGGCGCGGGAACTGTTTGTTGATAATATGTGGCGTCTGGGAGCCGGCTGCCCCCCTCCCCCCCCCCCCCGTCCTTTGGTCGACGCCGGAAGCCGCAAGTGATACATCTACCGCAGAAACTGGGACAAGCCTTCCAAAGGGCTCAGGGGCAAAAGGACGCCATCTCCTGGCAGAAACCGTGTCGAGAGATGCCATCCCCCGACAGGCAATTTGCCAACACGAACGCGTCGTGCCTGGTTGCGGGGCTAGACGCGCCCCCATTTCCCGCAAAAGACCTCCACGACAGCGGCGAGAGGCCCGCTCTGCGCTCCACACACGACGCAGGCGCCGACCGAGCACGTGACTCGTCAGGAGCCGCACGCGCGCCGGGCCACCCTCGTGTTGAGGGCGGCCGGCCGCCGCCGCCGGCAGAGCGGGCTCGGCCGCCGGCGCGCCGCCGCCCGCCCCCGGCAGCGCTCTGTGTTATGCACTGCAGCGCGGGCTCACGTAAATGTGTTATGCCCGGCCTAGCCGGGAGCCGGCGGTAATGGCGCGGCATTCCGCGCCGAATGCGCATGTCGTCCGGACAGGGCCGACCGGCGTTCGACTCGGCGGCCGGCCAACCGCCGTCCGCGGCCTCGGTGTGGCCGTCCAGTCGTCTGTCGCTTCCGGCGCAGTGAATGGCAGCAGATTTACCGCGGACTGTGTGTGACCATGCTCAGGGCGTGATGCCAGGCTGCCGGACATCCTGTGCTTCACCATGCCTGCTCTCTTTCGTCGAGCACGTGCCGGACCCCTTTAAAAAAACTTGCTGTTGCTTTCATCAAGCTTGCTGCACGCCCATTCGCACGTTGGCTCTTCTTTTGTGGAAGTCTTTGGCTATGTCTGGCGCTCCACATGCTTTATCCCCGGCCATTTGGTAGGCCATGCGCCGCATAGCGTCATGCTTGGTCCGGCCGTAAGGTCAGCTGCGTATGGTATCAAGCAGCCGGCCGCATACACGGTCCGGCCGCGCTGTATATGCAGGCCGCCCCACTTACACCGCGTCAGTGGAGCTGTCATAACACACGTCGATGGAGCCACGCGGGCGCGGCGCCGGAGGCTGGACCGCCCCTGACGCGCGGGCCAGGCCCGGCCGCCCCCGGCGCATGGCCGGTCAGCGACGCCGGCGGCCCGCCGCCCTCTGAGGATGCCCCGCCGCCCTCTGAGGATGCACCGCCGCCCTCTGAGGATGCACCGCCGCCCTCTAAGGATGCTCCACCGCCCTCTGAGGATGCTCCGCCGCCCTCTGAGGATGCTCCGCCGCCCTCTGAGGATGCTCCTTCGCCCTCTGGGGATGACCCGGCGCCCTCTGAGGATGCTCCTTCGGCCCTCTGGGGATGACCCGGCGCCCTCTGAGGATGCTCCGCCGCCCTCTGGTGATGCTCCGCCGCCCTCTGAGGGATGCCCCACCGCCCTCTGAGGATTCCCCGCCAGCCCCTCGTCCACTCTGCTCTGAGCTCTGAGCGCCTCGGATTTCCGTCCCGAGCGCGCCAGCTCTTGGCTCTGATCTCGCCCTTCCTCTGCTCTGAGGACATGGGTTCACTTCTCTGACCACATCAGCCATCTTCCCTTATGTCATCGGTTTCTCCGCTGTGAGCAGGTCTCCGCCCAAAGCATGCCAATGCCCCGCTCCGATCATGTCTAACCTCGGCTCTCGGTACAACCCCTTCTGTTCCTGGCACGTGCCTTCTTATTCTGGGCTCGCCTCTTCTATTCCCCGATCACGTCCATTCCCCACCCCGGACAGGAGCTCCCTGTTGACCGCAGCACGTCTGTCCCGCAACAGGAGCGCCCCCTTCTGGGTCGCGGCGGGGTCGACCTCGACGGCGCCAGCCCTGACAGACACGTACGCCGGGAGCGGGCTGCAGGCGGGCCAATGACACGTGCGCGCACGAGGACAGGCAATGAGCCGGCCACCACTGGCCCGGAAGGCAGTCGGGGTCACGGCTCCCTGTCAAAGCGCACAAAGTCGGGCGCTCTGGGCGGGTGTTTACCACAAGATGGAGAGACACAATGCGTGCAAGCGTGCGAAGCCGGTAGGATTCGTGTAAGAAAACTGAACGGGAACAGGTGAAGAAATGAAGCGCCAAGTGGTATGCACAAATTATTCTGCGCGAGCCGACAAGGCGTGATAAGACAGATTATGTTGATTTTTGGAGGTGAGAATAGAAGTTCTGAGCTACTCCCGTCAAGCCAGTGTCCGGGTCCGCCAGCGCCCGAATCCACTCCTGCGTTGCTGAACATCCTCTGGGGCCTGTTATTTCTACTGGCTACGGAGCGGTCAGACGTCTGGGAACGGATTTCTCGCATCTTTGAAAGCGGCGTCAGTCAGGTGACCAGTGTGAGAACAGCAGAGGTGTCCCGTCAGTCAGGTGACCAGTGTGAGAACAGCAGAGGTGTCCCGTCAGTCAGGTGACCAGTGTGAGGACAGCAGAGGTGTCCCGTCAGTCAGGTGACCGGTGTGAGGACAGCAGAGGTGTCCCGTCAGTCAGGTGACCGGTGTGAGGACAGCAGAGGTGTCCCGTCAGTCAGGTGACCAGTGTGAGAACAGCAGAGGTGTCCCGTCAATCAGGTGACCAGTGTGAGGAGAGCAGAGGTGTCCCGTCAATCGGGTGACCAGTGTGAGTACAGCAGAGGTGTCCCGTCAATCAGGTGACCAGTGTGAGAACAGCAGAGGTGTCCCGTCAGTCAGGTGACCAGTGTGAGTACAGCAGAGGTGTCCCGTCAATCGGGTGACCAGTGTGAGGAGAGCAGAGGTGTCCCGTCAGTCAGGTGACCAGTGTGAGGAGAGCAGAGGTGTCCCGTCAATCAGGTGACCAGTGCGAGGACAGCAGAGGTGTCCCCCCAGTCAGATGACCAGTGTGACGACACCAGATATCCCCCCCCCCCAGTCAGGTGACCAGTGTGAGGAGAGCAGAGGCATCTCCCCAGTCAGGTGACCAGTGTGACGACAGCCGATGCCCCCCCCCCCCCCCCCAGTCAGGTGACCAGCGTGAGGAGAGCAGAGGCATCCCCCAGTCAGGTGACCAGTGTGAGGAGAGCAGAGGCGTCCCGTCAGTCGAGTGATCAGTGTGAGGAGAGCAGAGGCGTCCCCCCCCCCCCCAGTCAGGTGACCAGAGTGAGGAGAGCAGAGGCGTTCCGTCAGTCAGGTGACCAGTGTGAGGACTGCAGAGGTGTCCCGTCAGTCAGGTGACCAGAGTGAGGACAGCAGAGGTGTCCCGTCAGTCAGGTGACCGGTGTGAGGACAGCAGAGGTGTCCCGTCAGTCAGGTGACCGGTGTGAGGACAGCAGAGGTGTCCCGTCAGTCAAGTGACCGGTGTGAGGACAGCAGAGGTGTCCCGTCAGTCAGGTGACCGGTGTGAAGACAGCAGAGGTGTCCCGTCCGCTCTCTTACCTTTAGTTCCTGGTACGCCAGGGAAGCCCGGAGGTCCGGCCGGGCCTGGGGTGCCGGGGAAGCCGGGCGGTCCCTGCCGAGTGGGAACTCAGACTTAGACTCAGACTCAAACTTTGACGTTCGCGCTTTTGGTGCCAAATTACGACATTCCCTGGCTTTGAGCTGGCTTTGCATGCAACATTAGCCCACCGCGCCGCCAGCATCTATCACACAGGACTGTGATGTGATAATACTGGGCTGGCAGGCATCGGACCAGTGTACCGAAATAGCTAAAAAGGCCTGGGCGAATAACTCGGCAACGACAGTCATCCTGCAGGTAACACCTTACCTTTAAAACCAACATGAAAAACTTCGCAAACGGGGTTTCCCATCACGCACCGCTTTGTGGTCGACAAGTCATGAAGTCACCCATGAGCTCTCCACCTGACCAGACGGAAGGCGACAGGGACCTCCTCACTGGCCGAGTGTCCCGCCCGAGGCGGACACGCTAGAGCTCCTAGTGAGAAGCGGCGCGCCTCGCAGTGTGAGAACATCGGCGTGAGGTCCTCTGGAAGCGGCTAGACGCGAAGCAGCCGCTTCGCAGCACCGACGCCGCCAAGCGAAGCGGTGATCCGAGGCCAAGCGGCGGCCTGGACACGTGCCGACTCGCGCCGCGTTCGGCGCCACGTGGGGAACTCACGTCGGTGCCGTTGCAGCCGTCCAGTCCAGGGAAGCCTCGCGGACCGGGACCGCCTGGCAGGCCTGGGATGCCGTTGATGCCGGGGAAGCCAGGCATGCCCATCTTGCCCTGCGAACGGTCCAGGCGGCGGTGTTATGCCGCAAGGGCGCGCTGGGTCTAAGGAAGGCACTGTTGTTGTTGTTGTTGTTGTTGTTGTTGTTGTTGGTTGGTTGGTCTCGGCTGTCCTTGCGTGGAGAGGTGGGGGAGGAAGTCAGGCACTTGGACGAATGAAGGAGACGCTTAAGTTAAGATGGTCGTGGATAAAAGCGGGACAGAATCTTGGCTTTGTAGGAGGAAGCGTGACGCACGTCTTCGCGAATCCTGCTATGGAACGGCGATGAGTGCAGTGGTCATATGAATGTTCAGAGCAATGCAATCTTAGTGAGTGGTTGTAAGTTGCATGCTAATCTCTTTCGATAGGAGCAGGCATCAAAGTTCCATTGCAGAACAAAGTGTCCGGTAAACAGAGTTCAGGAATATGGAGCATAGTAGAACAGAGTAGATTATAGGTGTGGAAAGTTGGAGTGGGTTATGTACCAAAGGATTTAATAATCCAACTGTCAATTAAAAAGCCTCTTCCTCATCAGCTTCCTATTTTGTCAGCAAATAAGCACATTAAAAGATAACGACACAAGACGGCTTATTCTCACGGTTCATATCCCAATATGGCGACCGGCTCAGACTATGAGAAGAGCTGGGTGGCCGGCTATTCGGCGGAACACTTACCCGATCTCCCTGCAGACCCCTGGGTCCCTGCGGACCGCCGGATCCTTTGTCTCCCTTCGGGCCGGGCAGGCCCTCCATGCCGGGGAATCCCTGCTGGCCCTTGACGCCAGAGGGCCCCTGGGCTCCCGGCGCTCCCTGAGGTGACGAGCAGCTGTGTCACAGCCCGTTCCCCACACACGGCCGCTGGCAGAGACACGTCTCGCGCCGAATGCCCATCGGCTTGTATTTCCCACGCGACGAGTACCCGTGACTGACGCACGGAAGGAAGACAGCCGACGTATGTTCCACTCGTCGGCCTTAACACGAGCGTCATACGTATGCGTACTTGCATGCATACATAAGTACATACATACACGCCCACATCCATCCATCCATATATATATATATATATATATATATATATATAACATGTCGTCTGAAGCGGCGCGTCTATTGTCATGGCTTACACCCGCCACGCGCGTCCATTTCGATGGCTTCCCGTCTTACGTAAAATTATTTTCCAGCCCGTGGGCTCGTGCTCCGTTTCCTAGTATTGAACCTGCCGCACCCGAGCACACCGTGATCTCAGCCGCTCCATTCAGCTTCTGGCTCACGACCGTGAACCGCTGGCCCTCCTCCGGAAGCGCGGGAGGCCTAGCATCCGTCGGCAGGTGTGCGCCGCCGCCACCGGCAGCCGCCCAGCGGCGCGGCAGCGGGGGCCACGCGCCACCCCAGCCCGCGCCCAGCTTACCCTGCTGCCCTTCTCGCCGACGCATTTGCAGCCGCCGGCACCGCAGCCGCCGGCGCCGCACCGACGGTCGCCTAGCGGCCGCGGCTCAATGTCCGTCTGGCCGTCCCTTGTCTGGTAAAGCCGTAGCCGTAGTTGTCGCCGCGGCGCTGCGGCGAATACTGCTTGCTGCTGCTGCTGCTGTGGACAGAGAGGGCACCGGTCAGCTGAGGGAGCGCGTCCGTCCGCGGGGACAGGGAGGGCGCCGGTCAGCAGAGGGTGCATGTCCGTCCGCGGGGACAGAGAGGGCACCGGTCAGGAGAGGGACCATGTCCGTTCGTGGGGACAGAGAGAGCACCGGTCGGGGGAGGGAGCGCGTCCGTCCGCGGGGACAGAGAGAGCACCGGTCAGGAGAGGGAGCGCGTCCGTCCGCGAGGACAGAGAGGGCACCGGTCAGGAGAGGGTGCATGTCCGTCCGTGGGGCCGCGCGGCTCTGACGGACTCCGACTGCTGACGGGGAGCAGGGACACGGGTCACGGCGCTGGGGCAGTTGCGATGAGGGCGCGATACGTGCACTCTTCAAACAGGGTTAAACCTGGAGTCGGTAATAGACACGACAATCGGTGTAAGATCTTTGTCATCCGTGCCGTACAAGGTCATGCACACTTTTTGACAACACGGATGAACTCGAAACGCTTACACCACGTACACCACGCTACACGCGCATCACACAGGGCACGCGTCACGCACTTTGTTGTCGAAAGGGTTACGCCAATGACTTTGAGCCAAAGGCCGTATAAGTAGCTTGGAGCTCCGAGCTCTTTCGGCCTTGCCTTCCCACTAGCCAAGCCTGTAGATAGGACGAAACCAGTGACCGGTTCCGTAATGTGAATCAACATCTTATTCTGTTCTTAACGTATGTGCGAACAGTCAACCTCGTAGTTCCACTGACTTTTCCTATAGGTAACTACATCAAAAGTTTGAAAAACAAATCGGAAAACGCATTCACCTTGCCCGTCCCATTACCCCACGTGGTGCAATTTCAAAGCGACAAGTTGGCGTCTCATCACATGAAACGTACCGCAGTGACGTAATCCAATTCTAGTTCATTGTAGGGGTTTCGCGCAGGTCTGGTGGCAAAACAATGCTGTGTGCCGCAGGGTCTATTCGTATCGTAAAATGCTGTGGCACGACCACGCCGTGCCGACTTGGCCGCAATATGCATGCAGTGTTCCAGCCACATCAACATGCATCAAAGTGAACATGACTTCAGACACTCGAGTCGCAGCGAGCAGAACATGCCCGCCAGCCGACGTCCTTGACTCGGCTCACATTATCCGCAAAGCGAGTGCAGACGAGATTAAGTTAAGGCAGCGGCAGGGGAGACTCTTACCGACCCAAACCTAGTTTCTCAACATCGACACGACGCCGTTTTGCAGGTCGGTTGCCAACAGGTGCTTCTCTTTGCCCCGAATATCGAAATAGCGCCGCCCTAGCGCTCAGCCGGCGGGCCGCCGCGCACGCGGATCAGCAGGGCTGACGCTCGCGGTCGTCTATTTCTGCTGCGGTGCCGACTTGGTCCGCCGGGCCTCCCTCTCCCGATCAAACGTGCCGCCCGCTGACCTGATCTCGTCGCCGCCGACCGGGCCCGGCCGTTCCTGCTGAACTTTGGGCCGGGCGCGGCGCCGGCGCCAGCGCCGGGCGTCCGGGTGGCGACGGCCAGCTCGGGCGACGCTCGGGCCGGCTGGCGGCGGCCGCAGCCAGCGGCCTTGTCGACTCCGATAACGCTAAACTACGCTTTCTCAGATATGCTGTGGAGAGCGCGGTCCCAAGCCAAGTCGAGACGGCGCTCGCTGTGCGTTGGGTGCCCAGTGTGCCCACCGCCGCATTCTGTCAGATGCTCGAGTTATGTTGCGGGCTGCTGGGCACTAACGTGAACCTGGAGCGGCGACGTGCCAACACGGGCACGCCTTGTTCTCAGATAATTGCAGGGCCATGAGAAGTTGACGATGATCCCTACTGCAATCGTAACACCAAATCGTCGTTGTTGACAGTATATCGTTTTTTAACACGCTCAGCGTTACCACATTGATGGAGTGATCAGATGCAGCCAGCGTCAGCCCCCCCCCCCCATTCCCAGGCGTCAGTGTCCGATCTCCTTGCGTGCCAGTGTCCGGATCAGGCCGGCACTCTGCCCGGAGTTGTCAGTATCCGTTCCCCTGACGTGCCAGCGTCCAGTCCAGGCCGGCACCCCGTTAGAGGTGTCAGCGTCCGGCCCGCTGACATGCCAGTGTTCGGTCCAGGCCGGCACTCCGCCAGTGTCCGACCTCCTGACGTGTCAGTGTTCGGTCCAGGCCGGCACTCCGCCAGTGTCCGGCCCCCTGACGTGTCAGTGTTCGGTCCAGGCCGGCACTCCGCCAGTGTCCGGCCCCCTGACGTGTCAGTGTTTCGGTCCAGGCCGGCAACTCCGCCAGTGTCCGACCTCCTGACGTGTCAGTGTTCGGTCCAGGCCGGCACTCCGCCAGTGTCCGGCCCCCTGACGTGTCAGTGTTCGGTCCAGGCCGGCACTCCGCCAGTGTCCGGCCCCCTGACGTGTCAGTGTTCGGTCCAGGCCGGCACTCCGCCAGTGTCCGGCCCCCTGACGTGTCAGTGTTCGGTCCAGGCCGGCACTCCGCCAGTGTCCGGCCCCCCTGACGTGTCAGTGTTCGGTCCAGGCCGGCACTCCGCCAGTGTCCGGCCCCCTGACGTGTCAGTGTTCGGTCCAGGCCGGCACTCCGCCAGTGTCCGGCCCCCTGACGTGTCAGTGTTCGGTCCAGGCCGGCACTCCGCCAGTGTCCGACCTCCTGACGTGTCAGTGTTCGGTCCAGGCCGGCACTCCGCCAGTGTCCGGCCCCCTGACGTGTCAGTGTCCGGTCCAGGCCGGCACTCCGTCAGAGGCGTCAGTGTCCGACCTCCTCATGTACTAGTGTTCGGTCCAGGCCGGCACTCCGCCAGTGTCCGGCCCCCTGACGTGTCAGTGTCCGGTCCAGGCCGGCACTCCGCCAGTGTCCGGCCCCCTGACGTGTCAGTGTCCGGTCCAGGCCGGCACTCCGTCAGAGGTGTCAGTGTCCGGCCCCCTGATATGCCAGTGTCCGGTCCAGGCCGGCACTCCGTCAGAGGCGTCAGTATTCTACCCCCTGACGTGTCAGTGTCCGGTCCAGGCCGGCACTCCGTCAGAGGGTATCAGTGTCCGGCCCCCTGATATGCCAGTGTCCCGGTCCAGGCCGGCACTTCGTCAGAAGGTGTCAGTATTCTACCCCCCTGAAGTGCTAGTGTCCGGTCAGGCCGGCACTCCGTCAGAGGTATCAGTGTCCGGCCCCCTGATATGCCAGTGTCCGGTCCAGGCCGGCAGTCGTCAGAGGTGTCAGTATCCCCCTGAAGTGCAGTGTCCGGTCCAGGCCGGCACTCCGTCAGAGGTGTCAGTGTCCGGCCCCCTGATATGCCAGTGTCCGGTCCAGGCCGGTACTTCGTCAGAGGCGTCAGTATTCTACCCCCTGAAGTGCTAGTGTCCGGTCCAGGCCGGTACTTCGTCAGAGGCGTTAGTATTCTACCCCCTGAAGTGCTAGTGTCCGGTCCAGGCCGGTACTTCGTCAGAGGTGTCAGTATTCTACCCCCTGAAGTGCTAGTGTCCGGTCCAGGCCGGTACTTCGTCAGAGGCGTCAGTATCCGCTCACCTGACGTGCCAGCGTCCGGTTCAAGCCGGCGTGCTGAGCTGTCAGTGTCCGGTCCCCTGACGTACCAGTGTCCAGTCCAGGCCGGCGTAAGACACCGATGACGGTATTGCGGCGCAGCCTATGTGGCAGATGGTGGTCTTCACAAGTTAAGTGGGTGCACGTGCAGACGGCTCACGCGTTACCCATAAATGCTAATGAAACGATTCCGAGTTGGAGACAAAGTTAGGTTAAACAAATGATTCATTGCGCAGTGTAGTAGCAACCGCGGTGCATGATTATCTCGTGCCTCAATGATATTTTCGAGTCCTGCACATCTGCGCTCAGCCAGTTTTTCCGTCAACTTCAAACGTGTTTGAAATTAAATTCGGTTTCGCTGGTACGTTCCGCTCTAAGGAATACATATTTTTACACCATTTCCTGTGCTGGGTCCGGTACAACCATGAGCGCACGTACCGTAGCAGATCTTCGGGCCACCAAAGACCATGACTGGCGACTAGAACTAACCAGAACTTGTGATTCCTCATACGAACGAAATTGACTCCGTGAACGAGAGCCCAGCTCGGATGTCGAATGCATAGGCGTTGGAGGCGTTTGGTGCCTACTAACTCCGAGGCTGCACGCTGCACCATGGAGCTCCGACCTCCACGCCCTCTCGCTCGCCCCTGAACAGGCCGCCTTTTTTGTCCGACGGACCTAAAGCCCTATCGCGGAGTGCATTTACTTCTCGCTGACCCTGGTGCGAGGCACCCCCCCCCCCATCCCCTTCTGCTCCTGACCCTGGCGGCGCAGGCTCGGCGAAAACAGCTGACGGCGCGGCCACGCGGGGGGCGCCGCCGGCCGCCAACTTTCGCGCCGTTTTTGTCCAGCGATAAAAAGCAGCGCGTTCGGCCGGGTGATTAACCCACACACGATCAGCTGATGCGGCGGTCACCAGGTCTGTTGCTGGGGTTGCGGTTCCACTGCCCACAGCGGCGCCCAACTGACGCCCGACAAGCTTCAGGGCGTGACCGAGTGCCACATGGCGGGGTCAGGCTCGAAGGGAAGGCCGGACCACGCCGCACGGGCTGGGCCGAGCTAGCCGCAGCGCCCTCCAGCCAGACCGTCGGTGACCGTCGCTGATCTGTGATGTCTCATAAAACATCACCTTGAGCCTGACAGCTCGCCTTACATAAACACACGGGGAGCGTGTCCGCCGCGGTGACGTTAACATCCGGAGGACAAACAGTCGACTGCACCCGACCAGCGCGCGCCATCGCCTGAATGGCGCTCACACGGCTCCTCCATTCAGCGGGGCGCGCCTGCGCGTGCGCGCCGGATTACTGTTTGTCAGCGCCCGAGCGATTTACTATCGTCCGCAGCTGAGTAAGGTTTCGGTGACCAGCGTCTAAACGAGGTTTACTCGCGCCTAAGTGAAGTTTATGAAC